TTTCAGAGGTATTTCTGTTCAGGTTTTCAGGTCTGCAGCCTGTTTGATGCAGCAATCCTGTTTATCTCCACTGAAGGATCCAGGGGTTAGGCACGCTGTTTGCTGCTGGATTTAAGCACCTTTTCTTTCCCGTTAAAAATACTGCTGCAGTTTCCTGGCAGCTGTGCTGCAACTATGAGAGACACTTAGAATATGTTAAAAACATGAACACTAGTTACAGTCATGTCCTGTTTATATAATTAATGTGCCAGCAGGCTCAGGAGATAGCACATTTTACTGCTGATCATGAAACTCCAATGCTTTGAAATATGCACAAGTAACATTAGGAAGACTTTTATCAACAGACTCAAATTGACCAAATGTAAGAGGGTCAGAGACCTGTAAAATGTTGACTTAGATTAAAGTTTGAAAAGACAGGAGGCCTTTTATCACCTGAATCTGCCACTGAGTATTTTCCTGCTTTGATACCTGCATCAAACCCTTTTTTCCTCTCCAGGATGTTTCATGTATTTCAGATTTGTGATCAATATTTAGAGTAATTCCCCGAGCAAATGGTGTCTTCAAACTTGCAAGCCAGTAAAACCCTAAAACTATCTCATTAAAGAGAGTTTTTTTACTAAATTTTTGATACACATTTGAGGATTTTCAGAGTAATTCTCTGCTCGGCCCATAGGTGGCACTAAATCTTTTTTTTTTTCATCTTGGATACCAGAGACTAGATTTGGACAAAAACTGTGTAAATGACTCATCTCATCTAGCGCTGACTCTCAGATCACACTGACTGAAGCAGATGCTGCAGAGATGGTCCAAAGGAGGGTGCACTTTGAGTCACTTTTGATGGCCACGAGGGACTGTATCATTCACAAAAGAATGAATGTTGCTGTCTTCGGGATGACTATCATGAATAAGCAGTTCCTCTCCCAGCAGGAGTCAGTCCCGTCTCCTCATTTATCTTCCCTTTTGCTCCTTTGGAAAGCTGTTTGACAAGTCTCACAGCCCTGAAGCGTTCAGAGAGGAGAAAACTCCACAGCATTTGGTTAATGGCTCCACGGTTCCCACACTGATTAGGAGCAGAGCACAAACTGCAGAATTAAGTCGTTGATTAAGTAGTTACAAAGTCCTGGAAAGAAGCAGAAAGTGCTGCAGACAGCAGTTTGATATTGTTTTTAGTCTTTGAGAGAGTTTCACAGAGGACAATGGTTTTATCAAACCGTGCCTTTACTTCTAGCTAAAGGGTTTTTAATACTGCCTGTCCTTGTTTGCATAGCTGCATTTAACCTCAAAGCCTGAGAGATGATTGAATCATTCAGTCAAGTCTCTGTATGAGAGAAAAGACTGACACACACCCTCACACACATACATTTCACATTGAGGCCCTGAAAAACTTCTTTTGAATTCAGCTTTAAGTCAAATTAAGGATTGACAAGCTTTTCTATGCAGAACACCGCAGACTGTGAATTTCATTGAAAAGTGGATGTTTTCAACAACATCTTCGTAAGAGCGGAAAACAACGTCATCCTCAACCCCAGTGAGATATACTTTCATCTGCAAACAGAGAGGACTCAAGAGCAGCTTATCAAGATGAGATTCAGCAGAGTGTGTGTGTGTGTGTGTCTCTGTGTGGGTTTTTATATCAGGTACGTCTGAAGGTATTGTGTTTATTATAATGTGCACGTGCAGAAATCCCAGGGTAGAAGTATGGGAAAGGAGGCTAAACAGACTTGAGTGCCTCTAAGTTTTTGCTGCAAACACAACTTTCTCATTTTCCATGCCTGAACTTGAACTACATCAGGTAGTCATGTTTCTTCAATTCAAGTGTAACAAACATACAGTTTATGGCTGTTGCTGCTGACGATAATAATACATATAACCTGGATGTCAGAGCAGATGTTCAGCAGTCTGAGGTAGAGTTTTGTGGGCTTTTTCTCAGGACTTGATCCCATGCATAGAGCTGTCCTCAATAAAAGAAATTTGACACACACACATCAGAAATAGAAAGCCTGCAGTATCTAGTCATCTGTCCTTGTCCAACTTGAAGTATAAACATTAAATCTTGGGACTTATGGCGGTGGTATCCAGCAATCTCTGGTTGAAGCTATACCACCATGATGCTAATATGCTCCAATACCAGGGTGTAAACAGGCACAGATGACAGTGTTAGAGCACAGTGTAGTTAGGCAGTATTTTGTTTAAGAATAAGGAGATTAAGTTGAATGAAGGCTGTATTTCTGATAAACTGGCATGTTAGCATTCAACTGTAGCAACGTAAAACCAGCACAGCATGAGGAACCTGTTAGGACTTGTGAAAAGGACATGGGGCTGGTGGTGCTGTTCACACACTCATCAGACCAGTTTGAGACTGCATTCAAGCAGACTCTATATTCTGATGAAAATTCTGCTCTATTTGGATGCAAGAACATTGTGCACGCACATAGAAATAGCTGGGTGTCAGTGCTCTTGCTCCCCTAGTGCTGGTCTGAGGTGTCTTCAGCCTGCCTTTGTTTCTGTTGTGGAGCAGACCTCTGGCTGATGTTAGCAGGCTGTGGTCTGTGCATTATTGATGCAGACTGTGACGGGGCTCTACAGGCCATAGGCTACAACTTAAAAAATCAGAGGGTGCACTGAACTCAGGCTGAACTCACAGGGAATTTAGCAGGAGACAGCGAAGACGAGGCCTTTCTGTCTGCAGTCTGACACAGAGGATTTTTTTAAACCTGGAGCTGAGAGACGACCTGATTCTGGTGACATGACAAGTTTACTAGTGCATTTTTAATGAGCCCACGTCCCTGGGTGAGACCTAGATGATTAAAATTAGCTCATGGGCCGGAAAAGTTTAAGACAGTCTGCTTTAAAAAGGACCTGAACTGAACAGCCCTTTAATAAGAGAGTATAAGTTGTGCATATAAAAGACTGTAAAGGCAAGTCTTATTCGGCATCAGATAGACTTAACTAACAGTTTGAGGAACATCAAAATTTTTCTATATGATAACAAATCCATGGTGCAATGTGACAAAAATGTGTGTTTATTAAAACCTTCTAAATATCTTCCATAGGTCATATTTAAAAGCAGCTGCAGCATCCACAGTTTCTAAATGGTCTCTGTGATCCCCACCGTGAAGTGTCCACCAATTTTGCTGAACTAGATTGGAGGCCATCATTGGACGATCCTCCCTCTGAAACATAACTCACACATTCTGCCTGTAAGCCCTAGTGTTTGATCCTGTCATGAGAGACTCTTTAGTTTGATGAGGCTGATGATATGAGGGCTGTCAGTGTTTCAGAACATGGTAGAGCACCTCTCATAGATCAACGTTCACAAAGAGGTCCAGAAATTGTTCAGTATTTACACTTCACCTCATGTATTTATACTGTATATATCTCTGCCACTCTTGAAAATGATGCTTATGCTTTTTTAGTAAAGAATCTTTACAGTGATGCTAATGCTAGCCGCTGTGTTGCAGCAAGCATTTGACGATTTTACTAAACCCTTTGTTTATGGGCAGGGGGGATTATTTCAGCCATCCTGTGACCAGCCGTCCCAGCAGCTCTGTTTTGGGTGGAGGAACCAGAGCCTGTTTTGTTTGTGCTTGTTTACACTATTATGCACATGCCTGGTTTACATGACTGCTCATTTGTGTCTTCAGGCGTGTTAGCGTGGGAGGAAGCACTTTATTGTTCCTGTGGATCAAATGGAAAAAAAAAATGTTTCTTCTTTTCTTTCACCACTGAATAAGTCTGAGAACTTGCAGCTTATTCAGGAAACTGGGTGTGATGAGTGACTGTCGGCCGTTACCATACTGTACCTTTCATAATAAACTCCCTCTGATCTTGTGACCCTGTAGGGCTGTTTGCAGCTGCGCTGAAGGTCCACTTAGTCCTGCAGAATCATGGTCTCTGTATGCACTTCACACCTGTTCTTCATACTTGACCTTCAGATCACAGCATTTGTCATGTATATGAAAGATAAAGAGATTTGAATACAAAGTTGAAGTAGTATAAATGTTTTACAGATTATTACGATGAGACAAATCTGGACTCTGATTCGACCTGTTTTCTGCTTTGATCAGAGGTCTTTATATTTATTAAATTCTCGATGGCAGTAAGAAGTTCTTGGCCTTGCAGAAACTTGCAGACACTCTCAAAGTGGTACTGCCGAGGCCACATTAATGCAAATGTGCCAATGATGTCATTTTGCCCCAGGGACAGGAGAGCATTATTTTTGAATCAAGAACAGGATATCTAAGGAGTCAGCTCTCTGTAATGAGTCCCACATCCCTTTTTTAAGGAGGTTTATCATGTTAGATAAAAGACTTCAAGAAAGAAGTGAAAAGTGAAAAGAGTAACAATCATGATAAAGAAAGGGTGAGATGGTTTTGCGTAAGTCAGGACCACATATCTTTTTGGAAACTGGTTGTATCTGCAGCATGACTCTGCTTTAAGAGCTCCCCACCCCTCCATCTGCTTAGGACAAAGCTGGAGGAGGGGAGAGCACACTTCCCTCTTATTTACTTTCATGAAAAGAAAAGGCAGGGAGAGCAACAGCAAAAGCAAAAACACCAGAGAAAAGGGGTGGTGTGCATTTCATCTGCAGAAAAGTAGCGCGTACATCGCGTATGACAAAAACGACGGCGTATGATGCTCCATCTTCTTGCTCTGACCTGCTGTTGTTGTTGACAGTTGTATGGGGTCGGAAACAATGCAGCTGAAAAGACCCATATCGCCCCCTAGTTTTGGGGAGGAGGGCACGTTCACATAAATAATTCAATTTTCTCAGCTGCATGTATACGTGGACAAGGAGAGACGTCCGATCCGGCAAAAAAAAAACGAATTATGAGCTTTATTCGATTAAGCTGTACATGTAGACGTACTGAGTGACTGTGAACACTGTCAATCTGACACTAAAGGTACAGTCCACATTATGAAGATATTCAATGACATTGAGCGGGAAATTGTAAAGGTCCCATTAAACTCCTTTTCAGCAGGTTCACGTAGGTCTCAGAGGTCCCAGAACAGTCAATTTGGAGTTTGTTGTCTCAAAACCCAGTTTTTCCCTGGACTTCAGCCAGCCTGAAAACTCTCTGTAGTGAGCTCTACCGAGATCACGCTGTTTTTGTGTGATGCGCCTGTCCATGCCCCCTTCAGCACAAGCCACGCCCCTCCCCGTTTCTCTTGAAGAGGGGGGTGTGGCTTGCGCTACAGTACTATGTGTTAATATTTACACAGAGTGCTAGGTATGGCTTGTCGAGGTGCTGTGGTCCAGCCATACCAGTTTGATCCAGAGTTTGACCAAGAAGTAGAGGCTCCCGAAGAAATTCCAACTCTGCGACTGCAGCAGGACGTTTCTGAATGGTTAGTCACAAATACTATGTGTCTCCATATTTTTCTTTTTACTTTGTTCATGTGTTGGAACACAGTGACTCATGTGTAGCAAGGTAACATTAGCTCTTGTTAACAATAACATCTCCGCTGTCTTCTCGTTACTTAGAGCTCTTTTGGTGAATGCGCAATATTGTAAGTATAGTTATCTCTCATGACTGCACAAAATAGTAAAAATTACAGCTCCCACATTAGTTGGGTCGAAGACAGTGGGTACCGATCCAGGCTTTAGGTTCAGATTCTTAGCGAATCCTGCTTTGTACTGGCCCTCGTTGAGAAAGCAGTCTGAAGCGAGGCGGTAGACACACACATACAATATTTTAGGAGTTGTTGTGGGTACATTTCCCAGTTATCGCCGTCTATGACGTCATTGATGGTGATAGTTTCAGTCTGCCCATTTGAGCAGACATTTTCTGAAAGGTGAAACAAGCAAGAGAGGGAAAGGATAGAATTTTCTCATTTAAGGGGATTTTTAGACAGGCTGAGGATTAATATTATTGTTAGAAAACCATTCTTAAGTGAATTTTGCATAATATGGGACCTTTAAAGATGGGATGCTTTCTTGCCAATCTCTCCTGTCACTGTGGCAACGGTGGCCCTCGAGGACCAAAAGAGATGAGATAGCTTCCTCTGTGGTGATGTTTTTAGTTTAGTTGAGTTTATAGCCTAGTTGGAAGACACTGATTTGAAGTGTGTCATTGTTTTAGTAACAGAAGCTGATATGAGAAAAGTAATGCTAACAGTGAGTGGAGTTTCTGTCAGAGTAAAAAAATGAAATGGTTAGGTATTATTAGGACATCTCCTCAGAGCCGACTCTGATCATTATCAGGATCTCTGACAGCAGCTGTAACTGCGATCCTATCTAAGTCATCAGAAATGAAATGATTTGGTTTTTACAGTCAATATTTACATATTTAAACACACCTCTGCATAATACATTTCAGTGCCGTGAAGTTCTACACAATGTATATTGAAGATAGATTGAAAATAGCCAACCAGGAAACAGCTCCTTTGGAAACTCCAACCCCAAGCTGACCAACTGACCAATAACCTGCAATAAGGTTGATTTCAGAAAACTGCTGCACTGTGGGGATGGGCCGTAACTTCAGAATATTACAATGTTGGTGTTGTGTTGTTTATGCGATTGTACATCTATCTTCTCAGTTGTTTCTATGAGAGCCTGGTTGTCATGCACAACCAGCAGACTGCAGCTGTATAACGTCTTAAAGCTGTTCGTCAGCTGCTATTAAATAAGAAAAGAAAATAGCCAGTAGCCTTTAAAATAAAGACACAGTGAAGTTTGATGCTCTATATGAATTCTTCAGTATTTCAAGTCATTTTTCCAGAGGGTTTAAACTTCTCTGTTGAACTTCTTATCTTCAGTCCCTCAGCCCATAGTAATAACAGCTCTGTCCAAACACTCAGGGTGATTCTCAAAGTCAAGGACAGATCCTCAGAGGACCCAGTTTTCTGGATTTTGTTGTTTGGGTAGATCTGCCGATGTGCTCTCGTGGATTTCTGAGTTGTCAAACTTTTTGTCCAGTTTTTCCTCTTTTTCTATAGGCTCCCACTTACTCACACAGCAGCCACATTTTGATGGCACTCTTCCTAATTCATATAGAGTGCAATATTACATAACTCCCTGCATAGCTGAGCCCAGTTTCAACATTTGCAGAGGTCTAATGAGCCTTCTTTTTAAACAGCACTGTTGGTGTGGAGGACCTTTAAAACTTGTTCATTCAGGCTGTATTCACTGTGTTAGCAGTCATCTGTATTTTATTTGTGTTAAGGTGTTTTCACAGACTTTCCCATTATGTTATTACTGAATTTGGGCGTTCTGACAGCAGTTCTTGGTTATTATTTAAGAGCAAATGTCATTTACAGCTGACAGATCAGGAGCAAACTCTGTCTCTCCCGTCTCTCCCTCTTTTAACCTTTCATTAATTATTTGGGATCTTAGTTGATCAGGCCTTTATTGTCTTGTATCAATATCCCAGAGTGTGTACTGAAACATGCCTTGAGACTTTTAGTGGTCTTGGTCCTTAGATGTGTTACTGATGAATGTTTGTATCACTGTAACCAAGGGCTTAATTTTCGTGCCTGCCAGCGGCGAGGCACAGGGTGGCGCAACCCATGCAGTGCAGCTCGGCGCAAAGACAGTTTGGTATTTTCGTAGACCAAGATGGGAGTGGCCATGCAGTAGGGGGCGATGTCAACAGAATCAACTTGTGCAGTGAGGCGCACCCAGTGCAGTGGTATTTTAGTGCAGTGCAGCCCAGCGCACAGTTTGATATTTCCGTAGACCAAGCTGGGCATGGCGGCACTAAAATACCACTGTGCTGGGTGCGCCTCACTGGTGTCAGACAGAATCAACTGGTGCAGGGATATTTTCGTGCCTGCCAGCGGTGTAGAGAGTGCGCTGAAGCTCACCGATTCAAACCTGGTCAGCCTTCAGCGCAGATGGAGCGCAGCTGGTCTAGTGGTATTTTGGTAGACTGGCAGCATAGTGTGCATAAATCACGGATGCCTCACAGGCAGGTTTCCACAGTGTCAGGCACATTTCAGTGCACTTTTCCCTGCAACTACCTGAGTCAGCACATACATTTAGATCTATATTGATAAATTGATCTTATCTGATGAGCCCGTTTGGCATGTGTATGGACACTCAGCCTGACTGGATTAACACCGCTGAAACAACATTAGTTAAGTATCCAATAATGAGAAATACTTCCTGGTTATGGATTTATCAGTAACACAGAACATTTCATTGGTCAATCCCTGATCCATGTGGACCCCAACAGGACTTTTAACTGCTAACTCTGTCTAAAGGTAACAGCACAGCATAAAGGAACATAGTTCACTTTATTAAACACGAGTAAACCTGCAAAGAGCGAAACTGTAAAATCACATTGCTTTTTCACATACAGTAGAAGTTCAACAGTCACTGAATTATATCCAAATTAGCAGGAAATAAACCACACAAAGGTAAAACAACCTGTTGTGAGCATGTCTTCCCTTATACTGAGCCCAGCTGACTGGGGCTGCACTACACATCCTGTGTGCAATAGACAACGCTGCTCAACATAGCAGAGACGCAACGCTGACAACACATGCTCAACATGGATCCCCCCCCCCCCCGCCACCGGCGAGGTGTGAAAGTAGAGCCCCAAATGTTTAAACTCAGTGTGTTTACATGCATAGCTTTATCGGACAAAGCTCATAATTTTTTTTTTTTTTCTGAATTCGAATTCTCTCCTTGTCTGCACATACATGCAGCTGAGAAAATCGAATTATTAATGTGAACGGGTCTTCCTCACCGAAACTAGGGGGCAATATGCGTCTTTTCTTTCAGATGTCTCCGTTCCTCATATCGGACCGTCCATATACCTTAAAATGTCAGGACGGAAAGCATAACGTCATTCTCCTTGTTGTTCCAAAAGTGGACATTCTTTCATGCTTCAGCCATCTTGCAGTTGCTTCTGAGTGGAGAGTTCTTTAAATGATAGTGCCACTTCTTCTCTGGTGTTTTTGTTCCAGGGTTATGGAGGTGTGGTGCACAGGCACATGCATTGTCCAATCATACCCCGACTACGCTGGTTACATGGCAGAGAAAAATGAATTCCAATCGCATTGTCTGGGTGTCTTAATCGGAGCTGCTAAACTCTAATTATATTTATTTGTCCGGTCTTAATCGGAGTAAGGCGATAATTCGGTTTTCCCTAGTGTAAACGTACTGAGTCACAGTGCCAGGAATAGGTAAGGCAAGATCTGGTCCAAAGAAACGTACGCAAATACATGACTCACTGATGAACCATAGATGCAACTTCTGAACCCAACTAGCGTGCATCAGCTGCATGATTAAACATAAATTATAAAGCATGAATTTAATAATTTGACTGATATTAATTTAGTGTTTTATATCTAAAAGTTATCAAGGCTGGCTGCGCTGTTTCTTCTTACCAAGAAATAACTAAAAAAGACTAATAGGATTAATTTTTCATGCAAAAAGTTACATAATTTGAAGTTCATTTTTCAAAGAACTTGAGGTGTAAAAATGTGATTAAGAACTTGAAAAAATTGGATATAATTTTCAACAGCTGTTGAGATTTCCCAGTGTCTTCGATAACTACCTGTTAGTGGGCAGCTGTTCTGGATGAAGTGTGTGTTCTGGTCTGCTGATGGATGGTCTGAGATGAATCAGTCGGTGTGAGCTGGTGTAGGCTGTGGTAGGACTGTGCCTGTTAATGGGTGATAACAGATTGCTGTGGGCTGCTGGAAGCTGCCGGAGGTTAGTTTGGGTTATGTGTGTGTGTGTGTGTGTGTGTGTGTGTGTGTGTGTGTGTGTGAGTGAGTGTGCGCGCGACTGTGTGTGTGTGTGTGTGTGTGTGTGTGTGTGTGTGTGTGTGTGTGTGTGTGTGTGTGTGTGTGTGTGTGTGTGTGTGTGTGAGTGTGTGTGTGTGTGTGCGCGCGCATAAGTGTGTGTGTAAGAGCTCCTCACGCTCAGTGCCAAGACCTTCAAGGAAGTTTCTCTGGCTCTGAATCCACAGCTTTAATTGCTGGGAGTCTTTGTGAATACCAAGAGACAGCACTAACTCACTCCTTTTCTTCTCTTCTCTCCTCTCTTTTTTTCTTGTCCTCTTTCCTTTCTTTCCCTATCAAAGAGTTTGGGTGTGTTTACATCCCTAACTTGGTGGTGGGTGGTGTGGTGAGCAGCACTCTGGAGTCATTATGATGGTGGGTTGGAGGACATTCACGTTTTTCCAGGCAGCTCTTTGTGTTGTTGCCTGAATTGTTGTTTTACTTTATGGTCCAGCAGTTGACTCATTTCAGAGCGGTCTTAGAGTGGTCTACTTCCTGTGAATACTTCTCTCCTTAACTCTAAGAGACAAGGTTGTGCGATTTAGTGTGCTGAATTTGGCGTTTGCACTTCCTGAAAGTGCTCTCTGTGTCTGAAGTTGCTGAGTCACTGGTACACAGCTGTGACGACCCCACCTGTTATGAGTGATCTTTATGGCAGTTTCTCTACTTTGTATCGCTTCCTGTCTTTGAGCCCGCCATGACACATTCATAACAGACGTTTCACTTTTGTGGAGCAGTATTCTTTAGTCTAGATACCATAAATGTAGATCATGAAAGTTTACAACAAGCGCAAATCCCAAAGACACCAACAGCTAAAACATCTGGTAGGTGTAGTGACAAACACGGGTGAGGAGGATACATTTGTTGACAGGTAGTTTGTTGTTGCTGTGTCAGAGCAGGAAGAAAGGGTGGATGGGAATACTAATACTAATAATATCAAGGCTCCTGAATGATCCCAGTCCGTATCAATACTGCTATTGAGTCTTTTCTATCATTGTTTGCCTTCAAACTTTTATATTTATACTGGTGTCTCACCAGACCTGTTTTTTCTTTTCTTGGACATGATGGGACCCTCAAGACTCAATAGTGGAATCGATAAGCTCAAATGTTATTGATTGTTAGGTTTCGAAAAGTGCTAAAATGGATTTTTAATGGATTACACTATCGGTCCCCATCTCTAGTTACAGTGTCACCAGATTTGACGAATTTGATGTCCTGCTTGTCTCAATGCTTATAGGGATATTCCGGTGTGAAATGAAGTTAGGGTCAAACACACCGTAACACCGAGTTATACACCTCGTCGAGAGATGAATGTTGCAGACTGCTTTCTTGTCTAGTTATACCAACCTTAGTAACGACTACAGATAGCAATACAGAGAGCCACGCGCTCAACCAAAAAGCCACTCGATTGAAAACACTTTTCTGGTCCGAGTTTGATTCATGATAAATACGCAGAATATTACTGAGATGATTAGTTGGTCTTCCTGTCGTTGAAGAGCAGTAGCCTACAGTATATCGAGTGTTCCTCATTTTTTATGATGTACATGAGTTAGCTTTATTTTTATTTATTTATATAGGCTATATATATTTTAGAGGATGACGAGTGTGTGAGTTTGACAAGACAGAGGTTGACAAAATAATCAGACTCACATTTGCTACAGTCTGAATTATAAGCTGAAAATAATTAGTTTATCATCTCTATTACAGTTAAAATACTGTAATAGTATTTTAACGTTTTTTTGGATGTTTTTTGGTCATCAGTGGATTTACTCAAGACGTTGGCCTGATGAGATGATAGGTCAAATGTCAATGGAATGATGGGTAGTGCGAGCAGGTCAACAACAAGGAATGAAACAAAATGGATCAAGGAGTGAGAAAGCAGCGAGTAGAAAAGGGTGGAGAAGAAGAAAGGAACGAGAAGAAGTGTAAGACTTTATTGGCTGAAAGTGGGAAAAGTGCAAATATTGTGGAGTTATTCTCGAAAAAGCCTGTGCCGGGTGAAGAGCCCAGTGGGACTTGGATGATATGATTGATAGAGTGGCAGAGAAAAACAACCTGCTACTATAACTACATAAAGGTAAAACATTTATTTATCATGTTCTGGTTAAGCTATTACATTTTTTTCTGTGACAGTGTAAAGTTTATGTGTAATGTTACATTTTTTCATTGTTCGCACAAACTGAGAAGACAAATGTGGCCTCTGTCTGTCTAAACTGCCAGGGCCTCTTTCTGGTGCCAGTCCGCCGATGGTCCCAGCCATAGTACTAGCTACCAAACATCTTTTTAGTTTTGCCTGATTTTCTTAGCGAAGAGACTAAACACAACTCACCCACTCTCTTCCAGCAGCTGCCTGTTTGTACAGAGACCTCCGGGCGAGTCCATCGACTGCAGCGGGGGACGCAGCTCAAGGAAGAACATTTATGATCATTTCTTTATCATTTCCTTGAAGTAATAATTATCAAGTTAATCATTTTGCACAGCTGACGCAGTAGTTCTTCTGCTTTAGCGACTCAGTCTGATTACATTTCCATGAAGAATAAAGAAATGTCTAACTCTGTGTTACGGCGTGTTTGACCCTAACTTGATTTTATGCCAGAATATCTCTTTAATAGTGACTGCTAAACTCATGGGACAACAGAGTATTTATGTTTGAGAGCTACACCTGCAGAGCCTGAACATCGTCAAGGTGTGAAAATCTCATGCAGAACAAGACAAAGAGTTGTTGCTGAGTTAGAAGTTATGATCATGTGACCAAGGTTGCATAAAAAAAAAAAGATGCCCTGTGCTCATCAGGGTCATGACCACCACAAGTCTGAGGGCTGGGGTCCCAGTCAGCTGTGAACTCGGGCCATCTAGGGGGAAGGGGTGTTGAAAAATGGCTGAAACTACGGCACAGACTCACTTGGAAAACATCTATTTTGTAGAAGGAATCTGTTCACCTCTGCATTGTGTGTGTGTGTGTGTGTGTGTGTGTGTGTGTGTGTGTGTGTGTGTGTGTGTGTGTGTGTGTGTGTGTCTGTGTGTCTGTGCGTGTGTGTGTGTACGATGCCTCTGGTGTGCAAAGAACGCTGTGGTCTCGTCTCGCCAACTGTTCTAAAGTTGGCACCTGGCCAACTGTGACAGTACTTTCTGGGGCGTCAAGTCGAACAGCACAGACACACAAACACACATACAGACACACACACAAACACACACACATTCAAGGATGCACATTCAGACACATGAGGTGATGGAAATGCCATAAATCTGTCAGTGAGGCTGAATGAGCTTAGTGCCACCAGGGGGGAGTGTGCTCCTCAGCGACGTGTGCACTATTAAATCCCATGGACTATAAAAGCCGATCTGTCATGTGGAGCCATGTGTGTATGTGTATGTCTCTGTCTGCACATACAACTATTCTGGAGTAGTACACACACAGACATACACACTTTCACACACTCTCCATCGGACTGTCTCCCTGGTTTTGTCCTTTTTTTTCCATGTTGTTCTTTGTCTTTCTTAAATTATGTAAATCTGGTTCATCAAATTTGAGCTGCTGATATAAAATGTTTTTTCTTCTGAAATCAAAAACATTTTTATGAAGCTTGTAGCAGTGAATGATAGACACATTTGAAGTGATCTCAGGGAGTTCTCACATATTTGTCTGTTCAGCAGGGCAGGTGCTTATTGAACAGGTAGATTAAATGTCCTCTCACTAAAGAAGCTTATTCACATTCCTGTCACAATCTTCAGGAGTTTCCTTTATTCAGATTAAAAATCAGAATTCTGAGGGACAAAAAAGTTCTTAATTCTGACATTGACATACCAAAATATCTGATTATTGA